ATTAAGGGTTAAGTTCACTTCTAAATATAGATCTTCCCTATTGATAGCCTCTTTGGGGGGATTTTGTTATCGTTGCCACACATGGCAGGTGGGTTGGCAACCGTAGGTTTCTTATTATTTTCCGATTTTATAAGAGAGAGATGCCGTTTTCCATTCCTGTTTCAGTTTCTATTGCATGCCTTAAGTGCAAAGCGCGTATGTATGTTGTACTAGCGCCTAAAAATCAAGATTCTAACAGAAGTAATCAGAGGTCAAGAGTTAAGGCACGCCTCTATCTGGTGAAGCAGTGACCATCCAGACCAGACCTTCTTGAAAGCTGTGATGATATCTCTAGATCGAAAAAGGGCAAAGGAGTAGTCCAAATGTCAATCCATTTACCAAGACTATGAGTTTACAACTCAAGCATTAGTCATCAACCACGTTACCAACAATCTGCCAAATATGTCGTTCAGTAAGGAACCGTGGCCTCACCTGCAACATATATACAATTGGCTGATCCCGGGTACAACGTTTCTAAGCCTGTTGATCTGCTACTAGACGCAAGCATATACTCTGAGATCATCACAAGCGGTCTGATCAAAGGCTCAAACATGGCACCAATAGCTCAACAAACGAGACCGGGCTGGATACTCTCTTGTAGCGTAAAAACGTTCAAATGTCACATTGTAAATACCAATTTTGAGAGATTTCTCAATACTGGGAGTTCGAAGAGATCAGTGACTCACCTGCTGAATTGACACCAGACGAACAGTATTGTGAACAATTCTACCAGTCCACTACAAGGTGACTACCTAACGAAAGATACGAGGTTGCTCTCCTGATGAAGCCTTGGTTCGAAAATGAGCTACGACGGCTTCGTGGCGCAGTGGCTTAGCAATGAGTTGTTGCGCTGGGGGCCGCGGGTTCGAATCCCGCACGGAACAAGTATTTGTATGGCCTACAAGTAATTGTTCCGGGTCTGGATGTTTGTCCTCGTGCAATCTATGTTTGTAAACTGCCTCCATGATACAGGAGAAAATCCTAATGTGGGGGTAACGTTTTTTTAAGAAACAAACAAAAAAATGTAAATCAAGATCAATTGCACAATTCTACAACTTGGAAAAAAGATGCCAAAAATGAAGTTTTTGCTGAAAGTTACAAGAAAATTATGCGATATTACGAGCAACAAGGTCACATGTCTCTGGTTACACACAGTGGACTACCGTGCCTTAGAGGGGCCTTGTATCAAAATTTGTCGGGGGGCCCAAATGAAGGGTAAAGATTTTTCACAAAAGGAACAAAAACACATTGAATTAAAATAATTATATATTGATTATAAGTTATTACATCCTGTCCCATAGAAGTCCTTAGAATTTTTGCTTACATACGTTCGGGGCCTCTGTAGCCCGGGGGCCGAGTATCATTGATACGGCTGCTACGCCCCTAGTTACACAACACAGTGCAATAGTGAATTATCTCCCACATCACGGTGTTGAGAAAACTGATTCCACTACGACAAGGTATCGAACAGTTTTCAATGGTGCATCAAAATATCTAGTGGACACAGCCTCAATGATTTAATGGAGAGTGGTCCTAACCTACAGAAGGACTTACAACATCTCATCTTAAGATAGCGTCTACACAAATACGTCATAACTGCCGACATCAAGAAGATGTTTTGCCAAATAATGATTTGAGAACCTGATCAACACCTATAACGCATTATTTGGAGGAGTAAACCAAGAAGAGCCCCTGAAGGAGTACCAACTAACAACGTCACCTACGGTAAGAAGGCGGCCCCCTACCTCGCAATGTGAACTTGAAAGCAACTGGTTATAGACGACGCCCACAAGTTTCCCCTCGCTGCTGCTGCACTAATGACATCACTATACATGGAGATAACCTTCTTGAAGGCCAGGTGATGATATCTCTCAAGAGAAACAGTTACAAAGAGATAATCGATATATTGAAGGGCGCCGGAATGAATATTCGCAAATGGTCCAGTAAAGCCAAGGAACTGATTGAAGTATCACCATTTTGCAGCAATTGATCTATCAGCAGATCAACTGGACACACAGCTCGACTTCAAAGGCTTAGAAAAGCGAAAGACCTTGGGCTTACGCTGGATTCTCTCATCTGACATATTCGTATTAAAGAACATATTGGAATGTAATGAGACCAGTAATGACGTCATACCAAAACGACGACAGCATTTATCAAATCAATCTCAAAGGTGTATGATCCTCTGGGATACCTTTGCCTACTTTCTGTCCGAGCTAAGCTTCTATTTCTACGAACTTGGTCTGAAAAAGCAGCTGATTTGGATACACGCTTGACTGAAAACATAACCCATGAGGGGATAAAGCTGAAGTGTGATTTTCAAAACAAGATCACGAGATACTTAGGCGACAAGAATCATTTCGTGTTCCATGGATTTTGCGATGCGTCCGAAAAGGCTTACGCTAGTGCTATTTACGCAGTTACAGAAAATCATAAGGACGAGTTCATAACGACGCTGTGATCGCTAAAACAAAGTTGGCACCTTTGAAGAACAAGCTCACATTGCTTAAACTTGAGCTTTGTGGCGCGTAACTGCTATTACTACATATGAAAAAAATCATGGACGTTATGCCAAAAACGTGCAGGTATACGTATGGACTGATTCCATGGTAGTTCTTGGTTAGTTAAATGGTGACGTTAATAGATGGAAACAGTTTGTTGCCAACAGAGTACGTACAATACTCAACGCTACAAGAGGACTGGCATCACACCAATTATCAGAACATTCTTTGTGGTGGCAGGGCCCGCAGTGGCTGTTGACATTTGATCCAAACATTATCAAAAGTTAAACATACCAACTGCCGGAATTAGAGGCTAAGAAGACCAGTGTGAACGCAGCCTTATCTTACAAAAACAATTTAATTTTAGAATTATTAAATGAATGCAGCTCGACACCGCGCTAATTAAACTAAACTATAATCGTGACTTCTTATATTTACGCGAAGATTACACATTAAATGAAACTAATTTTTACGGATTTTATCGCGTTTAATTTAACTTTTTACTCGTAATTCCCGTTTCGGGTGCTTTACTAATTTTATAAATTATAGGATGCCAAGCAGATGGCAGCACCCATCCATCTTCTCTATTGAAATTTGTATGTTTTTAGGGTTCCGTATCTCATAAGGAAAAAACGGAACCCTTAGAGGATCACTTTGTTGTCTGTCTGTCTGTCTGTCTGTGAAGACCCTTTTTCTCAGGAACGCGTAGAGGTATCAAGCTGAAATTCATATCAAATACTCAAGTCTACTGTCGCTTGGAGCTGTGAAAAAATCACGCAATCAAAAGATACAGCCGTTTAAGCAGCAAATTTTCGACATTCGCTAGGGAATCAAAACCTACAGGGTACTTCCCGTGAACTCAGAATCTTGAAATTTGGTATAAAGCAACGTTTTATGGCACAAATAAAGGAAAAATTGCGAAAAGCATAAATTTTTAGTTACATCATATAATAAAAATATTTTTAATAATTTTAAACTTATATACCTACAGATTTGTTCGGAACCCTCGGTGCGCGAGTCCGACTCGCACTTGGCCGGTTTTTTTAATTTCAATAGCCTTGCGAATCATTCTTGGCTGGAATCGGTGTTCTTTTGCGAGGATTTGTGGTTTATCAAATCTAATGTAATGGCGGAGACGATCGAGAACATGTTCACACAATGCAGACTTCCCGGAACTTGAAGCACCGACGTTCCGACACTTTCTTCATCTTTAATTTTGATTTTTGTTGTAGATCCTCCCTCGGCAGGACTCGGCGGTTGCCGTCTGTATTTAGGATATTCGTCGTCACCCGTTTGAGTTTTACCCAAAAATGATCTCGGATATCTCATCGAGCGTTTTTTATTATTCATTTTTTATAGGGTAGGCTGACAAACGAGCACACAGTCCACCTGATGGTAAGTGGTTGCTGTACAAATCAAATCAAATCAAAATGCAGATGCGTTGTCACCCATGAGGACTAAGATGGAATACCTCGTTTCCAGTAAAAAAGGTCTCCGGTTCTCTACACTTACAATACGAGTGTTAAGCTGCTATTTTACGCTGGTATTCTGTCTATATTATTGCAGGGAGATTGCATATTTAGTGTTCCATAGGGACCATGTATCATATTTTTAACAATTATTTCACACAAAATACGATCTCTAACCGGGTTTGGGATCTCTGCCTTCATAACATCATCAATTGAATTTGAATTATTATTTTTGAGCCAAATCAAGTTATGTGAGTGTGTGAAACCTCCTTCTTGGCATTCTATTGAGTACACCCAACTAATAATATCTCTGAAAACACAACTCTTCACAATGGCATTAATAAATTTCACTTGTTTTTATTTAAACACTCGTGCAATTATATTATATCTATCACGTGGCTTTTGTTCATATTATAACTCATCTTGAATTTTTTTACACGATGGATAAACATAAACGTAATAAACAAATCAGGACGACCATATTTTCTTACATAAGTCAAGGCATCTGGTGCATATTCCTGGACATGTCTGGGGCTACCAGTAAACGAAGAAGTCCCAAATGTTTCCATTATCAGCTGTCGTATTTCGCAGATGAATGTATTCATCCGTTCATAACTTGCATTGATTTAGGTGAATGTATAACAGTGTTTCTGCTTCAGTTTTTGCTTGTATATCGACAATAAACTGTAGAAACAATTTCCCATCTTCGCCTTGGTACCATGTGTGGTAACCATCTTCGCCTTGCCAAAATATCAAAGGATATTGCAAGACATCATACAGGTCATGAGTTTCCGCAATACGTACTAACTTGTTACTTCTTCGTTGAACCACAATATATCTATAACTACTCTCATTGTCCAACATTACTACCGCTATTTCATTCACTTGAGATGCATTCGTCATCGTTCATGCTCACCAATCGGTCTTTTATCTGCTCGAATTATTACTTTGTAATTATCTGAGACCATTTTTTCCATTGCAGTCTTAAATATTCTTATTAACTTATTATTTTTATGAAGAAAACACTGTATATTAAGAATTATATCTCGACACAATCCTGAAAAATTTGTTAACCTTTGGTCAACTTCGTTTTCTTCATTTCTTATGAGGTAAATTTGTAAGAACTTGGGTGATTCATTCGGAAGTGATAATAATAATCCAATTTTATGATATATTTGTCCATGGACTCTAAACACTGGATTGAATCTTTGTTTATCGATTACTTCAGTTGCTCCAAACGAAGTCATTTGGAAATATGCATTGTAACTTCAAATTTTTTGTAAAAACTATTTTTAATTTTGTGTTTCTCCTTTCATTAATTTTGAAAATTTAATTTTACCGCTTAGGCAGCAAATACTTGGTGATTCTCCTTTGAATTTTTTAGCTTTACAATATTTACATATTTGATCTATTCTCCCATTCACTATACTTAGATATTCGTTATAATTACTAGTAGAATTGTAATGAAACGCTTCGTAGTCAAGGCTGTAACTTCCTTAACGTTTTTCACGAACCGCACGTACAGTTTTGTCCGGTACTTGAGCTACCGAATGTTCGTGTTGTCGAGTGTTATTCATTCTGTCTAGATTGCTTTCGTCTGTCATAAATTTGGGCCTTTGTTTCTTTTTTTCTTCGTGATCTTTCTTTAATTCGATGTGTTTATCTGTAATTCTTAAACTGCTCTTCGCTCAGATTATATCGGTGACGATAATAATTTTCTCGTTTCAATTCTAGACGCGCTTATCTTTCTTCTATAGATTAATTTTTCCGCGCTGTTTTTTGCCTTTTTGATATAGATCGAGAACATGAAAAGACTTTTTTATGCTTCGGCATACTTTTTAATATTTTAACTTTAGACACTGCAACTATTTACTTGGCACTACTTGTTTCCACTTTTTACCTTGCGTGAGATGTACACTTCTTATTATAGAAAACCAACTGAAGAACGCGTGCCTTATCCTTATATACTTTTCAAAACTACCCTTACTACTCAAAAAAATGTTCTGCAAAGTTCTTCTTTTTTCGATTATTCCAAAGATGTTTTATAGGTCCAAATACCGTATACGCGCGCCTAAAATACTTCCATTTCAAAGACGCCAATATTGGTGTATTCGTTCGATCGTTCCGCTATTACGCCAGCGACGTTCACTGCGAACATATGTCACGCTCCGGCGTTTTTAATTTCAAAATGACTGTTTGTGCTGTGAAATCATGTAAAAATTACTCTTGGAAAAAAGATAACGATAAGAACATCACTCTTAATAAGTAATTATACAATTTTATGGCGTATTTCTTTGTAAAAGAATACGAAAGCTAAATGTCAATACAAGTAATAATACTGCGCAATAATATTCGAGTGTTGCCTAGTCTATGAAATGTTTTTACCATTTTTTAATGTCATGATCAACCGGAAAGGTTATCTGTAGAGGGGTTTTGGTCTAATTTTACAGATTTTACCCAACCTATAGGGTTAAACCGTTTTAAGGCTTAGGGTTGAACTACATCTGTAGCACGGAATCGCACTTTCCTGTGCTTCTATACTTTTTGATCACTTAGAACTGTTATTTACTAGAGCGAGAAAGAGAGCGCGAGTGTGTTGTTCCACCCTCAAAAAAGTTAAAAGTTTATCTATCATTCTTGACAATCCATACTAATATAATATTATAAATGTGAAAGTGTGATTTTTTGTTTATTTATTTCTGTCCTTCTTTCACGCAGCAACGGAGCGACGGGTTGACTTGATTTTTGGCACATAGATAGTTTATGGGCTGGAGAGTGACGATACTTTTTATCCCGGCAGGATTCCGTATGGTACCGACTTCCACGCGGGCGAAGCCACGGGTGGAAGCTAGTAACATATAGTATCAATTGTTGTGACGTGTGACGGGCGCAGGGGCGTGCCAGGAGTTACTAATTTATAGTTGTTATAAGACCTAACAACTGTAGTGTCATATGATGCACGGAGGGCAGTGGCATGCAGTAGTGTGGTACTGCATTTTCCATAGACGTGTCACTTACCATCAGCGCGATTTGCTCGTCCGTCACATAATGACATAAAATATACTTTTTAATACTTACTGACATACTGGCTGATTATTCCGCCAGTGGCGCTCCCAACCATAAAAAATCTTGATTTTTTTTTTTACGGCAATGTGTATGTTCTTTGTATACATTAGTGCCTGGTATTTGACAGTTTTGGTCATAAATAATTTATTGAAATAAGTAGATTTATTACAAATTGTTTTTATTCCCTCCGTAGATTTCCAACTGATCCCGTAATTTCAAGTCGATGGACTGAAATAATAAGGCGGGCTCGAAATGAATCCTGGTGGAAGCCTAAAGAAAGGACGTGTATATGTTCAGTTCACTTTCATGTCAAGGACATTTACACAACAAAGAGTGGGCGTCGTAGAATTCGCTTAGGGGCTGTGCCTGCAAAGGTATCTGCTACGAAGTTTTAAGATTCTACAGTTAGAAAAACTCTATAAATA